CCTCTGCTCAAAAATAAATTACTTTATAGCAACTAATTTACACACCTCCAACTGCATTTTAACTAAAAGCAATTAAATAAAATGGTACCTTTTTCCCAAAATGTGGTTCCTTTTGTATATTCAATGTCTTTTTCCTCCCTGAAAAAAATATTCCTTCTGTTCATATACTCCTAGTGTTGAACATCCAATGTGATTCTGTTTATTTGTCTTTAGTCAGGGATCTTATCCCAAGATCAAGTAACTAAACAGCAGTCTTTCCGACTTCCACAGGCTTACGATCAGACGCCTCTAAGTAACTTTGAGTAAGTTTTAATTGCAATTTAAATAAGAACTACTGATGGTGATGTGAGACAATCTAGCTAGGCTTTTAAAGTTAAGAATGAACTAGCATGGTCAAAGTTGACAAAATTGTTTTGTAAACTGAAGAGACTATGTATTGAAATATATATTACCCTGCAATACTATTTTTAAAAGACATCATTCACAGTGTATCTATGAATTTACAGTAGCAGCAAATCAATGTTTCAAATGCTTCCCTTGCAGTTCTTAAGCCTTATTCAATCTTCAAGCCTTATTCAATCTTTTCTCTACTGGTGGCCTTCAGTAAAGGCCACCAGTAAAAACGAAAATCAAGCCTAAAAATGCATTTTTATTATATTAAAAATCCTAGCATTTATCTGACTGGTCCCTTTGCCATCTATAACCTTACAGCTCTGTATTTTTTGAGGTTACGCCAAGTTAAAAGGCAAAGAAATTTGCAGTCACAAAGGGGTCAGAACCACGACTAGTATCTTATTTTCAAGACAATACCTCCTGCAAAACAGCACCTAAGAAATGCCCCAATGCTGTCTCTTTATGGGATCTATTAAGTACTATCCAAATAATGACCAAATCCAAAGTTATTTAATTTAGGAAATCCGACAATGTAACAATTTAAGAAGATCTGCCGCATCTTCATTCTAATGAGCAATGGTGGACTCCTTCGTGTCGTTTTGCTACCTGACACTTCCAAATGAGTATTTTACTGCAAATCACTCTTAACAGATTTTATCCCAGTTCTAGTTGTCATTCTGAGTTACTTCAACCAAATTCACCCCTTGCAAGATGTTTCATCCAAGGTCTATGCACAAATCTTCAGAGGAAGTAACCTGGCTGAGAGTCCCTCACACACGCTGTGCCTCTCTCTTTGGATATTAAAAAGAAAATCTTTTTTTTTTAATTAAAAAAAATCTTTTTTTTTTTCTTTTTCTTTCTTAACAAAGTGAGCTGCAATACCTTTTTCAACATTAATACTCAAACTTCTTAACAGGTTTTTTTGAAAGCCTAAAACATGAGTCACCCTTATTTCAATTCAGATTTTTCTGAGTCGTAGAAAGCACAATGGGGTGAAATGCCAATTTTTCTTTGTATTATATTGGAAGTTTTTAAAACCCCCTTCCTTCTTCCAAAGAAAAGTGTTTACACAGAAATAACTATCGATTCCCAGGCTTGCTCTCATGCCAATTTCATTCAGAGTTAATTTGCATGGTCAAATTTGAAATTGTTTAAAGGAAAAACTTGCGACAGCAGCAGGTCTAGTAGAACTCAGGATTCAAAGATCATCCTCTTATGTTGTGAATGCTGTAGGTAAAATATTACCTATTTTATCAGATAGGTAAAATCCTAAATGCCAACAGAGAGGCTCAATCATTAAAAGATAAGAAATTGCACCTCATCTGTAATAATTCAAAAATCATGGCATTCCCTGCATTAAAGAGCCCAAGATTATGACTGCTCAGATCAGTGAAAAGATTCTCGTTAGCATCTATGAAGTTTAGATTGAACCTTTATTTTCAGGTATAAATTAACACAATATAATGTATTCAGAATAACATACCATATTATGCTTAGCTCCTACTGAGCTCACAATATTTGTAATTAAAGTATTACCAGTAAGACCTCAACTCTTTACTCTTCAATCTTTGTTGAGAAGAAAAACAAGCCCGCCAGTATTTTAATCCACATTACATTTGAGTTCAGCAGAGAGAACTGATTCTCTATTGCACAACTGCTCTGTTCACAACTTGGGTGCAGGCACAGTGAAGCTAATAACACCACAGATGTTCATGGCACTATTATGTATTTCACTGAACATTTTCCTCACCTTACTAATTTAGCCAAACATATTTCAGAACCAGTCACATGGATGGTTTGAAAAAAATAACCGCACTACTAAAATGGAAGAAGTTCAGTAACATGACATGAAAGACTACTACTGTATTCTCAAATGTGGCACTTAAAATTTTCAGACCACACACAAGTGAACTGTCTTCTGTAACACTACCCGTGTCAACAGAAGGTTAAGAGCCAGAGTATTTACAACCTTTGTACATAAAGGCCACATTAATTTAACTGTCACTAAAAATTTTAGAGCATCTCTGTTGGCAAAGCTATTTTTCAGACAACAGATGTTTGAAAAATCAGTCCCAATAATAAGCTATGTTGAGACAGTAACCAACACTACAGCTGAAGTGTCCAAATACAGTAAAACTAAGGGGAACACAGGCTACCTGTAAAACTCTTCTGCATCAGTGTGTACAGACCTTTTTCAAAAGTAAAGGCAAAAGTTTTTCCATGCTTATGTCCTTCTGACAGGTGCATTGTAGTTTCTTGACACTCAAGTTCAAGTACCAAGCTTTCAGTTCAAGTCTTAGCTTTTGACTGTGTGCAGAGGACACTCATGGCCTGAATTTCCATTAATGCTTTTTGATACCCTGTATTATTTTCTATGTGTTCATTCCCTAGATTTTGAGAATATTCACAGTGTAATGCTAAGTGCATTAAAATGGCTTTCTAGTCAAAAAAAATAATTCAAGTTAAGCACTTTGCCAGTTCCAAGAAGAGAGATCGCAGATGGCATGTGAACCTACCACTGCGACGGAGAGCTGAGAGTCCTACTCAGACTCACAGCTCCACTGCATCTGTTAAGACCACAAGGTTTGATTAACCCACAAGTAGCACAGGATGCATTTGTCCTTATCTCTACAGAGAATATTTTTCTCTTGTACGTGGAGACTGTTTCCCACAAACCAAAGCCGTTTCTATTTAAAGGAAAACTGCAATGTGGCAGGTATGCATTGCACCTAATTCCAAAAGGACAGCTCAAAAGTTTTAAAGTCTTAAATGTAATTTAGTAACAAGCAGATGAGACAGGCTATGAAATAAAAATAAAAGTCACTGTTCCTCAGGATGGTTTTTGCACTCCCACATTTTGCATCGCAGGTAAAATTGGGCCTTGGTGTAATCATCACAAAATCATCAAGCTCTTTCATGCACTGCAACGGGACCTTTTCACTCCAAGCATCTCACGGTTAAGACAAAGAGCTCAAATACAGAAGAGCCTAGTGACACAGAAAAAGTACCCTAGAGTGGTTTCGCGTCTCCGCAATGGAAGTCAGAAATCTAGGCAGATCTGAAAATACCATGTGGTGCCTTTCTGGGTCACAAGGTACTTTTCTGACTTAAAAAAGAATATAACCTGGGGGATTTATTGTGCGTGTTCTGGGTTTTTTTTAGGGGTGGCAAGGAACCTGTTCCAAAACTCAATGAAATAGTCTTCTTCGACAGGCTTTAAATCAGGCTTTAATTGCCCAGCAAAGTGTAAATATAGTAAATAAAAAGGCACAAAACTATGAAAGCTAGAAGTTTGACTAACTACTAAATTGGTAAAAATAATTTTAGAATTTCTATTAAAAGTTTACTACACAATAATTATAGGAGGACTATGCCTTTCCCAGACTTTCTAATAATAAACATTAACTTCCTTTGTGCAACCTGCTTCCCAGCAATATGTGGGAAAAACGCCAGTTCTCATGGTGACAGAATCATTCACCATAATCAAGTCAGTTAAAACACAGTTATTTGTAAAAATCTGCTGCAAATATTTAAAATAATTCATCTAGCAAACATTAGTTCAGCAACTTAAGACTAATTATTGCAGTTTTCCTTTAAATGTTTTTGGCCTACGTAAGCTGATATTTATCTCAAAAAAAAAAAAAATCTTCTAGCACAAGAGGCAAAAAGGCATGCAACCCAGTAAAAATTGGCAAGCCAAAAAGTTTATTTTGATGTGATTTTATTTTGATTGCCATATGATGACGGTTCTGTGGTATAATATGCTGCAAGAATAATTCACACAAAATCCTGTCCACGGCACTTGGGCTCATAAAATAACAAAGACTCAGCAGACAAAAAACTTGAAGAATTCATCTTTCTTTTGCTAATAAAATAATGAGAAGGCCCCTATAATTTGCTGCCTCCAATCTTAACATGGATGTATCAGAAAATTAAAAGTATAGAAATTATAGATCCTTATGACATAGGAAAATGGTAACACCTTTGTCTAAAATGTTGAAAATTTAGGTGTGGATATAGCTTGGGCACCTGTGTAAACAAATTCATATTTACGTCCTAAAATAGGTGATCAGCTGCAATCTGCAAGAATTTACAATAAGGCTAAGTAGGTTTGTCATGCACTGAAACGTAGAGCTGAAAGCACAGCATAAGTGCAGTAATGAACAGGGCCTTACTGTAACACAGGCAAGAGGTATGCCATGTTATTTTTAACACAGCTGCTGAGCTGTGGTCTTAATATATTAAAGCAAAGCTGGCCACTTATCTTAAGAATGTATTTATTAGATTATCACCATCTAATGGGATTTGACAGCACTGATAGGAGTTTATATAGGCTTACAAATGAAAAGATCTGAAAATTCCAGAATTCAAAGATAGTCCTTCCTCCAATTTACCATTTCTATGCTTTGTTGGTGTGCAAAAGTGCACTGAAACCTCAGAACAGATTTTTAAAATTTGCCCATGTCTTGTTAATACACTGCAGTCTTCAAATTTACACAGAGCTGCAGTTCTCCTGGTTTTTCTCAAGTGTCACTCATCTAATTTAGCATGACAGCTGAGAAACGATGTCAGATGCGTTACAGTTCAGTTTAAAAAACATCCTCTACCTGGTATCTCTGCAGTGATTGTCTTGCTGCTCCCTGAAACCTCTTCATCATCATCTGATGAACTTGTGCTCGAGTCACACGTCAGGTCACTATCACTGGTACTGCTGTCCTGCAGCAGGTTGTACTTCTTGCGAGCAGCTGCCTCCCGTTTCTGTCTTAAGAGCCGGATTCTTTCTTTGTGCTTTTGGCTTCGATGACCTTTTACCTTGGTAACTCGACCATTCTGCTTATCACTAGACTGTCGGTTTTTCTTGGCAGCCATTGTTGAAGTTTCACTTTCGGACCTGGATCGCCTGGATTTCCTCCCAACTGCAACCCCAGACACCGCAGAAGGGTCTCCCTCTACAGCAGCTTCAGCTTGACAGGGCTCATTCTCTTCTGTGGAAGACAATGTATCTGAGTCAGCCAAATGCCCACTGGAAGAAGGGGAAAGCATGCAATGATTAGAAGAGTCACTCTCGTAAACTCGACCACCCGTTGGCTTATCGCTCTCTGTAGATGCTAGCTGAGACTCCGAAGAGTCTCGCCTCAGTTCCATCAGTAAGCAAGGCATTGAAGAGAGCACCGCAGAGTCTGCTGCAGTGGGCACGTTGTCTTTCTGAGTTTGTGTCTCCAGTTCTATAGGTCCGTCTTCATCAGGAGCAGCCTCTTGCTTTTCAGAAGTCTTTGGTGGAACTTCCGAATCAACAAGTTCTTCTGCTTTTCCCACTGCCTCCATCTTCATTTCAGAACACCAAGGTCCTCCGGGTCTCAAAGCATGGAGCACGTGGTCTGGAAGACTGGGTGAACTAGATATGGACTTCAGCAATGCAGCAGCCTGCACAAGAACAGAATGTTAAGAGTAATTTACCCACGTAACTCACTCAATCCTGCTCTTCACAGGAGGTTGAAACAACTCATTGCTTTCAATTACAGACAGTACGGTTCAGTACCCTATTGTTTTTCTTCATTTACTTTTTCCTAGTGAACTCATCCCGTTACACCAAACTATTCTTCCTTTTACAATAGATCCATGAAAGATGGTACTGGAATCACATTAAACGTGGTTCACCTCACTAGAATAATCAAAAGAGATCAGAAAATAATAAAAATATTTCTAAACTCTTACTTTATAAAATTTAAATCAATATATTATAAGCAACATATGCTAAACTTCTTTACCTAGAACTTTAAACATATTTCAATGGAGAATGAACATGAACATCATGAACAATGCCAGCCTGAAAATTCCCAGACTTGGTAGTCATCTACCTGGACAGACCAGAATATAGTTCAGTTTCCGTATCTATGAGAAATCTACTTTCAGTTGAACAGGACCTCAACCTTATAAAATTACAATGTTTTTATGGTAATTTGCAAACTTAGAGTACCAAACATGACATAGCAGAAATCCAGTCACTTTGAGCAGAAACCGAGCAGCTGCTGAACATTACAGAGCAAGACTACAAACACCTTTAGCGGACCCGCTCTGCCAGTAGATCTTATGTAGCAAAGACGTGTTTACAAGAAGTGCCATGAAGTGATACTAAATTGTCAGGGACATGGGGTTTACGACATCTATAGGCAATGTCTTTTGAAGCATTAGCTATGTGTAACACAGATTTGTCCTCAGCAGAGAACCACCATGCTGGTGAGTCATGTAAAGACTTTTCAGGAGTATCTAATACATGATTCAAGTGCTCCTTGAGTGTCTCCCATACAAGTCCTGGTTGTATGAGAACCTACAGGCTGACTTAGTTTCTCTCAAGCTGCCAGGAAAACAGCATCAAATAACGTGCGCTGCAAGCAAGAGACAGTATCCACCCACACCAGGATCCTACATTTTACTTCAAGTTATAATTTAATAAACTGCATTGCTTCAGTGCAAATACAGAAACCAAGCTATTTATCTGATTGATAACTTGCACATCATCAACCCAAAAGTACCTGAAGCACCTTCAGGGAAATTTTGTTTGAGAGACCAGTATTTATAATTTTATCTTCATTATTCACACTTTGCCTTCCACCTAAATTTTCACTTGGAATTCAACATAGAATAAAGATCTTTCAATTACCACATTACAGATGAACAGTATGGAACAAATCATTTATGGGTTTAGAAGTATAGTAAACGATAAATTTATGGCACTTCAAATAAAGTGTAGACAAGAAAAAGCAGTAGTAAGATTTAATCTGCTGTTTTTAAAAAATGCATTTCTGCAGACAAGGGCAATTAGTTCTTGAGCAGCCTGAGAAAGTATGGATGGTTCAGAGAGATTTTTCTGTACCTTGACAATCCTTCTTCAGTTTTCTGATCCATCCCAAGCTGCCTGCAACTGTATGTATGTAATTGTATGCTGCTTCCCCCCCTTCCAGCTGCAGCACAGAATAAGGCTACTTTCCTGCTTCTGAAAGGTGCTGTGAAAAGCTCAATATTGTCTCGTCTGCCCTAACCCACTTTGAAACTTCATTTTTAAAGAATATTAAAATAGAGTTCATGCTTCCTTCAGGCTAATGAATGAAATGCTGAATGGTGCAAGGGAATTAGGAAAATATTTATGGGAGAGAAACAGCAGCTAAGGAAAGAAAGCTTAGTTAATATCAGACAACACAAGAAAGATGGAGATCACAACTCTAGGTCTGCTAAATATGAAAAAAACCAAAACAAAACCCCAAACAAACAATAAACCCAGCACTTTACTTCCAAAAAAAAAGAATAAAATATAGACTGTAAAATACAGGAACATATATATAAAGAAAAATGTTTGCCAATACTTGCACTGAGTAAAACTCTCTTGAAAGCAACTTAAAAGAAGAATTTCTGGAGATGGTAATTTAATGTAGGCAATAAATATCACGTAAGAACCAATTTATTTCCAAGGCCACAGCACAGCATCAACAAACCCAAATGATGAATACGCATGTTCTGAGACATAAACACATCCCAATACTGTAATAAAATCAGTATTTCTAAATATTTCATCCACATAATCAATTTCATCAAATAATTCTCCTATTATACAGGTAAGTAAAACACAGATTTGATGTTTGAATGATTGGCCAATAGTTATACACAGTGGGATATGTATTGTACCTGCTAGTGCAACTCCCAGCTTTGCTCTGGTGGTGCACTTTGAAAAGAAAAATATCTTTTTTAAGAGTTTTGAAATGTACGTGCAAGGAAAAACTTGGTTGCTCAAACACATACAAGAAGAATATTAGCCTGGCGAAAAGAAATGTATTTAAATATTCATACCAATAACTGCAGAATAGCTTCTGCACTATTCATCCTTTTAGCCTGGGGAGCACAAAGGACAGAGCTCAACACAAAGCTAAAGGGCAGCCAAAGTGAACTAGAGACTCTTTTTCACAAACATCCTACTTGGGAACATCATCGACCTCAAAGCTCCCAAAGGGACTGTAAGAAAACCTGTACTTGCTTTTCTATCTCTCTGGCCTATCAGCCAGAAAAAATTATGTTTCATCTACACGCTACCACCTTGCTAACAGTCTATTCAACGACTTAAGATGATTTTTTTATTATTAAGTAGGATCTTACTTTAACTACTCAAACCACGCTGGTTGGATCCCTGGGATCCATGAATTATATTTTCAGTGAGAAGGTAGCACAGGGACTAGTAACTTCACAAAAGCGTATCTGGTCAACATTGACGCGTGTTTTTGTGTGCATGGAAAAAATACTTGCTCTGATGAGGTCTGCACTCTCCAGGTCCCTTGAGCTGGCTATTATAAAAGTCAACAATTGTGGTATTAGTACGTATATAAAAAAGAACTTGATATTTATCTCGGTGAAAAAAAAAGTCTGTCGTGTCTCAAACAGACTTTGCTGCAGGGAAGAATACAGACACTTCAGGGGAAAATATCTATGCCAAGGAAAGGTTTGTCTCAAAGAAAGAAAAAAGGTATTGATCTAGTTCTACTTGAGAAATGTATAGATCAGAGGAGAGGGGAAAAGACTACAGTGAAAAACTCCCATTCCTTTCTTGCCACTCACTTCTCTAGTAACAGTACTAGAAACTATAATCTCAAGGTGATGCTACAGAAAGACCAGTTTCTTACTCAAATGAGAACAACATAGCACTGAAAAATAAGCTGTGATGCTTGCAGACACAGATGGATACTTAATCAGACATTGCTCAGAAATGTCATTCTCCTTTTTCTGATGCACAGATACTGCACTGATGGTTTTAAAAGGCAATTCTGTAAGAACTTCTGTGCTAGATTTTTCCAACAGAAATTATTTTATTTTCCAGCCACACATAGAACACACCAGTATGCAGAAGCCATTAAATATCCAACTGTACCTTTACCTGGGAAATATTTTCAAATCATGGACTTATTTGTAAAGGCACATAATTTGTACTATGAAACCTGCACTTTAGTGAAGAAATCCAGGACTTTGATGGTCAGATTAGCAGAGACAGCCCAGCCAGTCTAACAGCTCACTGCCACTAACAGGGATGGGTTTTACCCCCTACTCTTTTACCACCTAATCGTGACTGCGCCGTCATATTCCCTCCTTTGCACCAGAACTGGCTCCTCCTTCCTTGGGTAGATTCACTTCACTAAGCCAGCAGAAAACAAAACCAGAAAAGTAGTGAAATTTTCTGCCAGAGCTGGCAGGAAGACGAGGGAAGGGAGGGAAAACAACAAACCATCCCTTCAGAAAAAAACAAATCTGATTAAAAACTACCTGTTGTTTGGTCTCATCACACCTTGAACTCACAGGTTCCAACTAGACACAGGAGAGGATACTGAGTGTTTCTTTCACAGCACTGTTTGCTCTGAGAAGAGATTTTTGAAAACAAAAAGTGATTAAAAAGCAAAAAATTAAATTCAAACAAAGGTGTCAGTAGCTTCCTAAAGAACAACTATCATGGAATGCATGCTATTAAGTAACATATACTACTGCTCAAAGAGTTATATTGAAGATGGCATGCATCTTTACCAATCAGTAACTGGCCACTCATTCATCCTTTATAATATTTGTTTGGTTTTCTCTCAGTAAACGTTCTTCTTTATAATTGTATATCCTGCAATGTCATACATCATAATTATATGTCCTGCCCAAGCAAACGATAAGGCCTGAAATACTTAATAGACACCTAACCTTAACTGTACATTATCATTTTAAGTGTTATTGAACTGATTCATGATAAAGAATGCCTAGTTTATATGAAGAAACCAGCTCTTTTCCTCAGCAGCTGTGGATATGACAGATTCTTACTTCAAAAGTACTAAGTTTTTCATAGCAGCTTGCCGTTAGAAGTCACTTTAGTTTATTACTGACACATTTCCTCTTATTCAGAGCCCAACAGACCACTACCTTTCCCTGCTTACAACTGTCACCTTCTCATGTCAGTTCTAGCAATTGTTTAAACGAAAAAAATCATCTAGCAGAACATTGTCTTTTAATGCCATTTTAGCACTGAAAGAAAACAGTTTGAACAACCTACCTCCTCGCATCACTAGCCATTCATTCGCAAGTTGTAATTTTAAAAAAAATGAGAAACTGTACCTACATTTTTGCAGAAAATAACATCAAGTACCTTCTTTAAGCTTTTGTCACTACGTAAATGAAAAGTTAAACTGCACTGCTGCATAGGAGTTACTTGTTCAGAATACACAGCTAACTACAGAGATCCTTCCAGAGCATCTACTACAGCTCCGGCGTCACAGAAATCAGTATCTTCATTTAAATCTAAATACGTTTTCATATTTATACAGAACTAAAGACTAATAGTCGCTCAAACTTACATAAACAATTATTTCCATCACCAGTGGATTACATTATCTCACATTTACCCAATGTAACTGA